TAAATGCTCCTGACAATTGTCCAAATGTGACCATTGGCCATATTTAGTCAGTGATGTCACTGCTATCCCCACCCCCTTCCTTACATGGCAGGGATTCCCAATGACATCACTGATTCCTGGGGATTTGGCAGTTACAAGTATCCGTTGCTTCCTTGGGCCCCAGTGCAGGACGCTGTTATATATAAACGTGTGTTTGGTTTCAATTTGTTTTTTTTTGTATGAAAATGTCATTTTCAGAGATTGAGATGTACAGCAATATTCTGGAAAAAAACACCAACTTTATCAAATCCACCTGAACCAACGAATATACAAAACAAATGCTGGAAATACAAAACAAATTCTGAAGATGAATTGGGCCAACATAACGAAGGGGAGTAAATGAAATTCTTCAATGAACGAATGTATCCAAACTAAATGGAAATCTCCAGTATGGACACACGCCTAGTTATATATAGAGGTGGTAGAAATGTCTCTTCTACATGTGATGATCGGCTCCTGCAAAACACGGGACCGGAACAGGCAAAGTTTGGTTTGTACTGTCGTCTCATCCCTACTCTCCGACAACTAAACCCAGAGATCATCCCAAGTGGTCATTGTATTTGTCCCTTACATTGGTGACCAATGGGAGAAGGACCCCCTTATATCAGTGGTCATTGTATTTGTCCCTTACATTGGTGACCAATGGGGGAGAAGGACCCCTTATATCAGTGGTCATTGTATTTGTCCCTTACATTGGCGACCAATGGGAGAAGGACCCCTTATATCAGTGGTCAGTGTAGTGGTCCCTTACATTGGTGACCAATGGGAGAAGCCCCCCCTTATATCAGTGGTCAGTGTAGTGGTCCCTTACATTGGTGACCAATGGGAGAAGGACCCCCCTTATATCAGTGGTCAGTGTAGTGGTCCCTTACATTGGGGACCAATGGGAAAGGACCCCCTTATATATCAGTGGATCAGTGTAGTGGTCCCTTACATTGGTGACCAATGGGAGAAGGACCCCCTTATATCAGTGGTCAGTGTAGTGGTCCCTTACATTGGTGACCAATGTGAGAAGGACCCCCTTATATCAGTGGTCAGTGTAGTGGTCCCTTACAATGGGGACCAATGAGAAGAGAACCCCCTTTTATCAGTGGTCAGTGTAGTGGTCCCTTACATTGGTGACCAATGGGAGAAGCCCCCCCTTATATCAGTGGTCAGTGTAGTGGTCCCTTACATTGGTGACCAATGGGAGAAGGACCCCCTTATATCAGTGTCAGTGTAGTGGTCCCTTACATTGGTGACCAATGGGAGAAAGACCCCCTTATATCAGTGGTCAGTGTAGTGGTCCCTTACATTGGTGACCAATGGGAGAAGGACCCCCTTATAACAGAGTTCAGTGTAGTGATCCCTTACATTGGTGACCAATGTGAGAAGGACTCCCTTATATCAGTGGTCAGTGTAGTGGTCCCTTACAATGGTGATTAATGGGGGAAAGAAGAAGGACCCCCTTTTATCAGTGGTCAGTGTAGTGGTCCCTTACATTGGTGACCAATGGGGGAGAAGGACCCTCCTTATATCAGAGGTCATTGTAGTGGTCCCTTTCATTGGTGACCAATGGGAGGACCCCCTTATATCAGTGGTCAGTGTAGTGGTCCCTTACATTGGTGACCGATGGGAGAAGGACCCTTTATATTAATGGTCAATGTAGTGGTCCCTTACATTGGTGGCCAATGGGAGGAGGACCCCCTTTATATCAGTGGTCAGTGTAGTGGTCCCTTACATTGGTGGCCAATGGGAGGAGGACCCCTTTATATCAGTGGTCATTGTATTTGTCCCTTACAATGGTGATTAATGGGGGAAGAGAACCCCTTATATCAGTGGTCAGTGTAGTGGTCCCTTACATTGGTGACCAATGGGAGAAGGACCCCCTTATATCAGTGGTCAGTGTACTTGTCCCTTACATTGGTCACCAATGAGAGTAATCTCCTACAATACTGTACCACATCAGATTACTCACTGTGGCACAGTATTGTCTATGCCTTACTAACTATACTATTGTGCCAATAATGACCGTTCTCCTCCAACTGTATGATCTCCCACAGGGGGTTTCCTGGATATTAATTCTTGAAACAACCAACTACATTCACTTCTGTTCATTTATATTACATTATAGAAGAAACTATACAACTTCCTGGACTGGGTGTGATTTCTCTGAGTTTGTAGAACTCCGCCCCAGGCCCCACCTACTAGCTGTTACTAGGAGACAGAAATTATTCATTCCTGAAGGAACCCCTAGGAACCTTTGGAGGAACCCTGGCTGAGAAAGGCTGGACAAGGCAGTCATATATTTCTGTCCCCCTTGGTGGGAGTGGAGGTGACCCCTCTATAAGGATCTACAGTCCATACACACCCAGCACAAGGCCGGGGTCACACTACCAGACGCTTCTCGGGGCTGCAGTTCCTCTGAGCTCCACAAGGTGGGGATCTCACTTCTACCCAGACAGGAAGTCTCTATGGAAGACAGGAAGTGATGTCAGGTACAGGCAGGAGGTAATAAGATGTTATGTTCTATTTACACCCTGTAACCCCCGTCATGTCCATCCTCTTCCTCCATAGTCATGTCCGTCCTCTTCCTCCATAGTCATTGTGATGTCTTTTATCTCCAGCAGATGATGATACACACATATATAGTGTGGGAACCCAGATTAACCCTGTATATTCCAATGAGGGAATTTCTGGTCGGTACCAGGAGGGGAGGTATTGGTGTCATGAAATGCCGGTTCCAGACATTGTATGTGGGGGGAATGAAATGATAAGTACAGAAGCAGCAGCCTTCCCTCTCTGGCCACAGCCGCAACCCTCACTCTCTCATCTCCATCCCCCTGCTTCCATGCACCAACCCCTCCCTCCTATGTGCCCTCTGGAATGCCGCTCAGCCTCTCTACTATCAATGACCTCTTCCTCTCCCACTCCCTCAACCTTCTTGCTATTACTGAAACCTGGCTCCAGGATTCTGACTCTGTCTCCTCAGCTGCACTCTCCCATGGCTTCCTCCTCTGGACTCACACACCCAGACCCAGTGGATGAAAAGGGGGTGGAGTCAGACTTCTTTCCTCACAAATCACATTCCAGGTTCTTCCTGCCCCTCCGTCTCTGTCCCTCCGCTCTTTTGAAGTGCACTGTATTTGTCTCTTTTCTGCTGTTTGTCTGAGGATCGCTGTCATCTACCGGCCCCCGGGCCCAGCCACACTTTTTTTATGACTTTTCAGTATGGCTACCATACTTTCTCTCCTCTGAGGTGCCCGCCATCCTCGGTGACTTTAACATCCCAGTCAATGTTCACACCCCTGCCACCTCTCAACTACTCAACCTAACACAATGGTCACAATCCACCACCCACTCCAATGGCAACACCCTTGACCTTGTATTCACCCACCTATGTACTCCCTGTAACCTCTCTAACACCCCTTTCCTCTCTCTGATCACAACTTTATCAGCTTCACACTCTCCCTGCCTCCTACCCTCACATGCCTCCTACCTCCCATGCCTCCAACCAGAAAACCGTTACCTGTAGAAGCCTCCACCACCGCAGCCCTGATCTTCTTCATTCTACTACTGAGCGGCTCTATGATAAAATTGCACCCCTGTCCTGCCCAGAGCTGGCCACATCTGCCTACAACAACTATCTATCATCCTTCCTGGATACTCTTGCTCCTCTCTCTACACGCAGAACCCGGCCTCACCTGTCACAACCCTGGCAAGCAGATGACACCAGAAGTCTCAAGAGACGTAGCCGCACTCTTGAGTGAGCATGGCGTAAAACTAAATTCCTGAAAAACTTTACCCTCTACAAATCCGCTCTTCTCAAATACAACTCCAGCCTCCACGCTGCTAAGCAAACCTACTATAACACTCTCATCAAGACCCTCTCATCCAATCCTCGTCATCTCTTCTCTACCCTTAATTCCTTACTCCACCCCCTTCTGCCTCAACCCACCAACTTACTTACTGCACAGGAGATTGCCAGTCACTTCAAAAGAAGATGAACACAATTCGTGATGAGATCTCCAGTGTCAAGCTCCCTCCTCTAACCAACATACCAGGCCCAACACCAAACTCTACACTCTCCTCCTTTGACCCTGTTACCACCAAGGAAGTGACTGAACTCCTTTCCAAGGCCCACTTCACCACCTGTCCCCTGGATCCTGTCCCCTCACGACTGTTGCAGCCTCCTTCCTGCTCTATCCTAAACTCTCTAACCTACATCTTCAACCTCTCACGCTCCATGGGCACCTTTCCCTCCCCGATCAAACATGCACTGGTTACCCCCATCCTCAAAAAACTCTCGCTGGACCCCACCTGTTTGAATAACTTAAGACCCATTTCCCTGCTCCCATTTGCTTCCAAGCTTCTCGAGCGCCTTGTTCACAAATTATAAACTGCTACCTCACCGACAACAACCTTCTTGATCCCCGACAGCCTGGCTTCCGCCCACAACATTCCACAGAAACTGCCCTACTAAAACTCACTAATGACCTACTAAGTGCTAAAACCAACGGCCACTACTCCATACTCATCCTAACCAATGGCCATTACTCCATACTCATCCTATCCCAACCAACGGCCATTACTCCATACTCATCCTAACCAATGGCCATTACTCCATACTCACCCCAACCAATGGCCATTACTCCATACTCATCCCAACCAATGGCCATTACTCCATACTCATCCTAACCAATGGCCATTACTCCATACTCACCCCAACCAACGGCCATTACTCCATACTCATCCCAACCAATGGCCATTACTCCATACTCATCCCAACCAATGGCCATTACTCCATACTCATACCAACCAATGGCCATTACTCCATACTCACCCCAACCAATGGCCACTACTCCGTACTCATCCCAACCAATGGCCATTACTCCATACTCATCCTAACCAATGGCCATTACTCCATACTCATCCTAACCAATGGCCATTACTCCATACTCATCCTAACCAATGGCCATTACTCCATACTCATCCTAACCAATGGCCATTACTCCATACTCATCCTAACCAATGGCCATTACTCCATACTCATCCACCCCCAACGGCCATTACTCCATACTCATCCCAACCCAATGGCCATTACTCCATACTCATCCCAACCAATGGCCATTACTCCATACTCATCCCAACCAATGGCCATTACTCCATACTCATACCAACCAATGGCCATTACTTCATACTCATCCCAACCAATGGCCACTACTCCATACTCATACTCCTTGACCTTTCCACTGCCTTTGACACAGTCAACCACCCGCTCCTCCTCAGTACACTCCACTCCATTGGCCTCCATGACTCTGCTCTCTCCTAGTTCTCCTCTTACCTTTCTCAGTGCACGTTCAGTGTCACATACAACTCCTCCTCCTCCCACTCCTCTTCCTCTTTCTTTCTGTTGGGGTACCCCAAGGTTCTGTTCTTGGGCCCCTCCTTTTCTCTCTCTATACCACCTCCCTGGGCCAACTGATAACCTCCCATGGCTTCCAATACCACCTCTATGCCGATGACACCCAGATCTATCTCTCCACTCCCCAGCTCACCCCCTCAATCTCCTCACGTATCACAAATCTACTAAGCAACATATCAGCATGGATGTCACATCACTACCTTAAACTCAATCTTTCCAAAACCGAGCTGTGATATTTCCTCCTCCCCGATCCCCCACTCATGACTTTACCACTAAGATCAACAGCACAACCATTGGTCCTTCCCCTCATGACAGAGTGCTAGGTGTAATCCTAGACTCTGACCTCTCCTTTGGGCCCCACATCCACTCACTGGCTAAATCCTGATGCCTCTCAACCTCCGGAACATTTCCAAAATCTGCCCCTTCCTGACCAATGACACAACAAAACAACTTATCCACGCCTTGGTTATATCCCGCCTTGATTACTGCAACTCCCCTCACTCACTGGTCTACCGTTACACAGGCTATCCCCCCTTCAGTCTATGATGAATGCTGCTGCTAGACTCATACACCTTACCAACCGATCAGCGACTGCTGCTAAACTCATCCACCTTACCAACCGATCAGCGACTGCCGCTAGACTCATACGCCTTACCAACCGATCAGCGACTGCTGCTAGACTCCTACACCTTACCAACCGATCATCGACCACTGCTAGACTCATACACCTTACCAACCGATCAGCAACTGCCGCTAGACTCATACACCTTACCAACCGATCAGCGACTGCTGCTAGACTCATACACCTTACCAACCGATCAGCGACTGCTGCTAGACTCATACACCTTACCAACTGATCAGCGACTGCTGCTAGACTCATTCGCCTTACCAACGATCATCGACCACTGCTAGACTCATACACCTTACCAACTGATCAGCAACTGCTGCTAGACTCATACACCTTACCAACCGATCAGTGACTGCCTGCTAGACTCATACACCTTACCAACCGATCAGCGACTGCTGCTAGACTCATACACCTTACCAACGATCAGCGACTGCTGCTAGACTCATACACCTTACCAACCGATCAGCGACTGCTGCTAGACTCATACACCTTACCAACCGATCAGCGACTGCTGCTAGACTCATACACCTTACCAACCGATCAGCGACTGCTGCTAGACTCATACACCTTACCAACCGATCAGCGACTGCTGCTAGACTCATACACCTTACCAACCGATCAGCGACTGCTGCTAGACTCATACACCTTACCAACCGATCAGCGACTGCTGCTAGACTCATACACCTTACCAACCGATCAGTGACTGCTGCTAGACTCATACACCTTACCAACCGATCAGCGACTGCTGCTAGACTCATACACCTTACCAACCGATCACTGCTGCTAGACTCATACGCTACCAAGATCAGACTGCTAGACTCATACACCTTACCAACCGATCAGCGACTGCCGCTAGACTCATACACCTTACCAACCGATCAGCGACTGCCGCTAGACTCATACACCTTACCAACTGATCAGCGACTGCTGCTAGACTCATACACCTTACCAACCGATCAGCGACTGCTGCTAGACTCATACACCTTACCAACCTGATCAGCGACTGCTGCTAGACTCATACACCTTACCAACCGATCAGCGACTGCTGCTAGACTCATACACCTTACCAACCGATCAGCGACTGCTGCTAGACTCATACACCTTACCAACCGATCAGTGACTGCTGCTAGACTCATACACCTTACCAACCGATCAGCGACTGCTGCTAGACTCATACACCTTACCAACCGATCAGCGACTGCTGCTAGACTCATACACCTTACCAACCGATCAGCGACTGCCGCTAGACTCATACACCTTACCAACCGATCAGCGACTGCTGCTAGACTCATACACCTTACCAACCGATCAGCTGACTGCTGCTAGACTCATACACCTTACCAACCGATCAGCGACTGCCGCTAGACTCATACACCTTACCAACCGATCAGCGACTGCTGCTAGACTCATCATACACCTTACCAACCGATCAGCGACTGCTGCTAGACTCATACACCTTACCAACCGATCAGCGACTGCTGCTAGACTCATACACCTTACCAACCGATCAGCAACTGCTGCTAGACTCATACACCTTACCAACCGATCAGTCGACTGCTGCTAGACTCTCATACACCTTACCAACCGATCAGCGACTGCTGCTAGACTCATACACCTTACCAACCGATCAGCGACTGCTGCTAGACTCATACACCTTACCAACCGATCAGCGACTGCTGCTAGACTCATACACCTTACCAACCGATCAGCGACTGCTGCTAGACTCATACACCTTACCAACCGATCAGCGACTGCTGCTAGACTCATACACCTTACCAACCGATCAGCGACTGCTGCTAGACTCATACACCTTACCAACCGATCAGCGACTGCTGCTAGACTCATACACCTTACCAACCGATCAGCGACTGCTGCTAGACTCATACACCTTACCAACCGATCAGCGACTGCGCTAGACTCATACACCTTACCAACCGATCAGCGACTGCTGCTAGACTCATACACCTTACCAACCGATCAGCGACTGCTGCTAGACTCATACACCTTACCAACCGATCAGCGACTGCTGCTAGACTCATACACCTTACCAACCGATCAGCGACTGCTGCTAGACTCATACACCTTACCAACCGATCAGCGACTGCTGCTAGACTCATACACCTTACCAACCGATCAGCGACTGCTGCTAGACTCATACACCTTACCAACCGATCAGTGACTGCTGCTAGACTCATACACCTTACCAACCGATCAGACGACTGCTGCTAGAGACTCATACACCTTACCAACCGATCAGCGACTGCTGCTAGACTCATACACCTTACCAACCGATCAGCGACTGCTGCTAGACTCATACACCTTACCAACCGATCAGCGACTGCTGCTAGACTCATACACCTTACCAACCGATCAGCGACTGCTGCTAGACTCATACACCTTACCAACCGATCAGCGACTGCTGCTAGACTCATACACCTTACCAACCATCAGCGACTGCTGCTAGACTCATACACCTTACCAACCGATCAGCGACTGCTGCTAGACTCATACACCTTACCAACCGATCATCTGCGACTGCTAGACTCATACACCTTACCAACCGATCAGCGACTGCTGCTAGACTCATACACCTTACCAACCGATCAGCGACTGCTGCTAGACTCATACACCTTACCAACCGATCAGCGACTGCTGCTAGACTCATACACCTTACCAACCGATCAGCGACTGCTGCTAGACTCATACACCTTACCAACCGATCAGCGACTGCGCTAGACTCATACACCTTACCAACCGATCAGCGACTGCTGCTAGACTCATACACCTTACCAACCGATCAGCGACTGCTGCTAGACTCATACACCTTACCAACCGATCAGCGACTGCTGCTAGACTCATACACCTTACCAACCGATCAGCGACTGCTGCTAGACTCATACACCTTACCAACCGATCAGCGACTGCTGCTAGACTCATACACCTTACCTTACACCGATCGATCAGCGACTGCTGCTAGACTCATACACCTTACCAACCGATCAGCGACTGCTGCTAGACTCATACACCTTACCAACCGATCAGCGACTGCTGCTAGACTCATACACCTTACCAACCGATCAGCGACTGCTGCTAGACTCATACACCTTACCAACCGATCAGCAACTGCTGCTAGACTCATACACCTTACCAACCGATCAGCGACTGCGCTAGACTCATACACCTTACCAACCGATCAGCGACTGCTGCTAGACTCATACACCTTACCAACCGATCAGCGACTGCTGCTAGACTCATACACCTTACCAACCGATCAGTGACTGCTGCTAGACTCATACGCCTTACCAACCGATCAGCGACTGCTGCTAGACTCATACACCTTACCAACCGATCAGCGACTGCTGCTAGACTCATACACCTTACCAACCGATCAGCGACTGCTGCTAGACTCATACACCTTACCAACTGATCAGCGACTGCCGCTAGACTCATACACCTTACCAACCGATCAGTGACTGCTGCTAGACTCATCATACACCTTACCAACCGATCAGTGACTGCTGCTAGACTCATACACCTTACCAACCGATCAGACTGACTGCTGCTAGACTCATACACCTTACCAACCGATCAGCGACTGCTGCTAGACTCATACACCTTACCAACCGATCAGCGACTGCTGCTAGACTCATACACCTTACCAACCGATCAGCGACTGCTGCTAGACTCATACACCTTACCAACCGATCAGCGACTGCTGCTAGACTCATACACCTTACCAACCGATCAGCGACTGCTGCTAGACTCATACACCTTACCAACCGATCAGCGACTGCTGCTAGACTCATACACCTTACCAACCGATCAGTGACTGCTGCTAGACTCATACACCTTACCAACCGATCAGCGACTGCTGCTAGACTCATACACCTTACCAACCGATCAGTGACTGCTGCTAGACTCATACACCTTACCGACCGATCAGCGACTGCTGCTAGACTCATACACCTTACCGACCGATCAGTGACTGCTGCTAGACTCATACACCTTACCAACCGGTCAGAGACTGCTGCCCCTCTCTGCCAATCCCTCCATTGGCTTCCACTAACCAACATATAACATTCAAAATACTAACCACAGCTTATAAAGCCATCCACAACACTGCCCCTAGCTACATCAACAATGTGATAAAACATGGGATCCATGGATTCCATACATCTCCATGCCCTAGTACTTCCTGATTTGGCTCTCCTCCCCCCCTTCCCCCTCTCCTCTCCGCCTCTTCCCCTCCCCCCTCTCCTCTCTTCCTCCTCCACTCTCCCCTCCCCTCTCCTCTCTTCCTCCTCCTCCTATCCTCCTCCTCCTCCTCCTCTCCTCCCCCCCTTCCTCTCTCCTCCTCCTCCCCTCTCCTCTCCTCCTCCCCTCCTCCATCCTCCTCCTCTCTCCTCCTCTCCTCCTCCTCCCCCTCTCCCCTCTCTCCTCTCATTACTGTTACCCTCTTTTCTTCCTTTCTGCTGTCTCTTTTATTTTCCCATGTTCTGGTGCTAG